CACTCAAACTCAGAGCGGATGCAGCATGCCATTGATATGAGATCCATGACACATAGAATCTTAGAATCCTAGAGTTGGAAGAGACCTCATGGGCCATCCAGTCCAACCCCATTTTGCCAAGAAGCAGGAAAATTGCATTCAAAGCACCCCTGACAGATGGCCATCCAGCCTCTGTTTAAAAGCCTCCAAAGAAGGAGCCTCCACCACACTGCAGGGCAGAGAGTTCCAGTGCTGAACAGCTCTCACAGACACATAAGTAACTATGCAAAGGCAGGTGCCAGTAATATGTTTTCACCTTATGCTGTCCTTTAATATTGTGTGTATGTGTGTGTGTGTATATATATATATATATACACACACACACACACACACACATACACGTACATATATGACGTCCCCTACCATGCGTTGCTGTGGACCACTCTGTGTATATGTGTTTTGTGTGTGTATATGTGTATATATGTGTGTTTGCGTATATACATGTGGTCTTGCACATGCGTTGTACTGTATTTTTTTTTTTTGGCTTTTAAGTCCCTTCTGTTGTGTTTTTCAGTGTTTTTATGAGTGATGGTCACTTGTTAGCCTGATCGGTGTTTTGTGTCCAAATTTGGTGTCAATTCGTCCAGCGGTTTTTGAGTTATGTTACATATACATATACATATACACACATACATATGTGCTTTAATAGCCTGTGTGTGTATATATATATACACACACACACATATAACATTTTTTTATTATTTCCAAAGTGTACCGATTATAACATAACTATTGGTATATAAAGCCACCGATGAACACTAGTTTAACTTGAGATATATGGGATTATTATTGGTGGCCCAATAATTTGTTATTGTATTTGTATATGTTTTTTAAACTGAGATTGTTTTTAAAATGCTGTAAACCGCAATTGAGTCGCCGTTCTAGGCTGAGAAATTAGCGGTATACAAGTGTACCAAATAAATAAATAAATAAATAAATAGTTATTTTACACCTTTACATCTCTCTCCCTCCCTTATTATTAGAAGGTATCTTCTCAAGGCAGGGTACAATGCAGTTAGAGCACCTAAATACAAACAAAGACCATTAAAACACATATACTGTATTACAAAACAGACATAAGGTTAAAACATATTAAAAATAATATAAGTTTCGCACTGTGGGTTAAAATTGGCCAGAATACATGCAACCTGGCACCCTTTCCCCTGCCATGGCTCAGTCCTATGGAACCCTGAGAGTTGTAGTTTGCAGAGGCACCAACACTGTTTGAGCCTACAGCTCCTGTGTTCCATATTCATGAAAGCTCGGTCAGAAAACGAGCCGCAGTGGTGCAATGGGTTACCCTTGTGGCTGCTGAACTACTGACCTGAAGGTCGGCAGTTTGAATCCACGAGACAGAGTGAGCTCCCATCTGTCAGCTCCAGCTTACCATGCGGGACATGAGAGAAGGCTACCAAAGGATGGTAAAACATCTAGGCAACATCCCTGCAGATGGCCAATTCTCTCACACCAGAAGTTACTTCCAGTTTCTCAAGTCAGTTCTGACACAATTAAAAAAAAGTCAGGTAATAGACATAATAAATATGGACATTTTGACCCCAAAAAAATTCGCACAACAATTTCGCTGGAGTCGCACAACACTACAAAACCTCAAAGAACTGACTGGAAAATATTTCTGGATTTTGTTAAAGAAGTAAACAGAGAAATATATATCAGAAATGTGTAATCAAAACTCAAAGGAAGTATCGATATGAAAGCAACAACAAAAAGAAGCAAAGACAGGAAGTATATATATATATGTGTGTGTGTGTGTGTGTGTGTGTGTGTATACAAAACAAACAATTAACAGGGTCATCCTGGGGGTTCCTGGAAGTACCGTACCTACCCCCCTTACCCCTCCCCGTTTTCCACTTTCCCTTTCCCTACCTCCTATATCTACTTCACTTCCTCGCTTTCCTACTTTACTTCACAAAACCTATTGTTCCCACTCTTTTTATGTAAATAACAAGAAAACAATAAAATATTATATTTAAAAAGTCAGGAAAGCATTACCATTTTTAAAATCTTTGTTCCTCCATTTTATGCTGCAAAAGACTCAGGCACCTTCTACACTGCATTATCATCCAGATTATCAAATCAGATAATGGATTATATGAGTCTACACTGCCATATAATCCAGTGCAAATACAATAATCTGGATTTTATATTGCAGTGTAGAAGGGGTCCAACACAGCTGCTTCACAGAATCCAAGAGTTGGTAAGGACCTCTAAAGGGCATTTAGTCAACCCCACTTCTGCCAGGCAGGTAGACACAAAGCCTTCTCGACAGAGGGCCATCCCACCTCTGCTTGAAAAACCTCCAGAGAAGGAAGGCAGAGTTGGAGGAGACCCCAAAGATCATCTAGTCCAATCGTCCAAGCGGCCTTGATGCCTTGAAAACTGCCTCCTTCTTGGAAGACGCTGCATCTCCTTTGACTGTTCTTTGTGTCCCTTCTTCTTGCAGGACTCCCTGAACAACAACAGTGGCTGCAACCCGGCTCCTCCTCCTCCTCCTCTTCCTCCGCAGAGGGCCAGCTGGCAGGAGACCCTCCGCCATTCCTCCTCATCTTCTTCCACCTCTGCCTCCTCTGCAAACCATGGAGGTGAGCTTCCCTCCTTTTGCTCCACAGGGATGGTGCTTCTTGCTTTTACGCTCTCTAGAGTTTGGGAGTTTATTGCCGTGCAAATGGCTATGGCTCTCCCCATAAAGATCCCTTTTCAGTGGGACAGATTGCATTAAGCACTTTCAGAGAGAGAGAGAGAGAGAGAGAAAGAAGTAGACACACTGACTCCACTCCTGGTTTTATAATAGCTATATTGGTTACACATCGAATTGTGCCTTGGTTGATATCGAATTGTGGCTTTGTTGTGAGCTGCCCTGAGTCCCTTTCGGGGTGAGAAGGGCGGGATACAAATGGGCAAACTGTGCCCCTCCAGGTGTTTTGGATTTCAACTCTCACACCGGCTCTTAGGAATTGTGGGAATTGAAGTCCAAAACACCTGGAGGGCCAAAGTTTGCCCATGCCTAACTTATACTCAGTGCATAATGTTCACTCATAATCCATTCAACGTTCATAATCACCATCCTTCTTCATTCAATTGATCAGGCTTGTTTGGAGGAAGGAGGCCGGTGTTCAAATGTTGCATTCCTTGCATATCTGGCACACAATCAAAAAGGAAAAAGGTCTCCTTACGTAGACTTCTACTGTTGTTGTTTTGACTCCAACTCCCACTAAGACGTACTGAAACTCCATCAATTCCCAGCGGAGGGGCTGGGAAGGGGGTCAGCTTGGACTCCCAAACCGAAACCACCATTATACCCCTGCTGGGAAATCCTCCTGGAGCAAGGTTGTTGTAGGTTTTTTGGGCTGTATGGCCATGTTCTGGAGCATCTCCTTGCGGGGAGCAGGATTTGCTTTCCTTTTTTGGCCTGCATCAATAGGAGCCTAGTGTCTAGATCTAGGGAAGTCATGCTCCCCATGCTCTATTCTGCCTTGGTTAGACCACACCTGGAATATTGTGTCAATTCTGGGCACCACAATTCAAGAGAGATATTGACAAGCTGGAATGTGTCCAGAGGAGGGCGACTCAAATGATCAAGGGTCTGGAGAACAAGCCCTATGAGGAGCGGCTTAAGGAGCTGGGCATGTTTAGCCTGAAGAAGAGAAGGCTGAGAGGGGATATGATGAGAGCCATGTGTACATATGTGAGAGGAAGCCACAGGGAGGAGGAGGGAGCAAGCTTCCTTTCTGCTTCCCTGGAGACTAGGGCGCAATGGAACAATGGCTTCAAACTACAAGAGAGGAGATTCCATCTGAACATTGGGAAGAACTTCCTGACTGTGAGAGCCGTTCAGCAGTGGAACTCTCTGCCCCGGAGTGTGGTGGAGGCTCCTTCTTTGGAAGCTTTTAAACAGAGGCTGGATGGCCATCTGTCAGGGGTGATTTGAGTGCAATATTCCTGCTTCTTGGCAGAATGGGGTTGGACTGGATGGCCCAGGAGGTCTCTTCCAACTCTTTGATTCTATGATTCTATGATTCCTTTCATACGCTCTTGAGATCCGGATTCCGCTCTTGCCGGCAGCCCATGGATGTCTTGCCTTCTTCTTAATGTTCAAGTGCAATCTCTTTTCCTTCAAATTCAAGCCATTGCCCCATTGTGTCCCGGTCTCCGGAGTAGCCGAAAACAAGCTTTCCCTTCTCCTCAATGAGATATGCTTTCAGAAATGTAAACATTTCTATCATGTCTCCTTTCAGCCTTTTCCTTTCCAAGCAAGATGCAAAGTATACAGTTCTGAAATGCAAAGTATACAGTTTAGGACAGGTATGGGCAAACTGTGCCCCTCCAGGTGTTTTGGATTTCAACACTCTTAGGAATTGTGGGAATTGAAGTCCAAAACACCCGAAGGGCCAAAGTTTACCCATGCCTCGTATAGGCCATTTGGCTAGGATTAATTTGTTTATTTCTGTTACTTCTACCCCGCCCTTCTCACCCCGAAGTGGACTCAGGGCGGTTTACAAAAGCAAGGCACAATTCGATGCCCGCATCACATAACAGCAATAAAACAAAATAACATCAATTAACAGTTAACAACAATATTTATTTATTTATTTATTTATTTACTTTGCTTATATACCGCTGTATCTCAAGCCCGAAGGCGACTCACAGCGGTTCACAAACAGTAAAAACAGTAGAAACAGCAGTGGTTCCATACAACATATAACAATTGACTTAACACATTATCCAGAAATTACCAATAAGCAATTACAATGCACAATTATTACAAAAAACAACCGTACCCAATCTTCTCATCATCCAAGCGTAGTCCAGGTTCGTCGTCCATTGTTCCATTCCTATATTCCATTACCAGATTGCACTAAATTACTCAAACGCCTGCACAAACATCCAGGTCTTCACCTTTTTGCGGAATACCATTAGAGATGGTGCTAGTCTAATGTCCGTAGGAAGGGCGTTCCACAGCCGAGGAGCCACCACCGAGAAGGCCCTATCTCTCGTCCCCGCCAGCCGAGCTTGAGAAGCAGGCGGGATCGAGAGCAGTGTCTCCCCGGAAGATCTCAAACTCCTGGTGGGTTCATAGGCAGAGATGCGGTCAGATAGGTAGCTTGGGCCGGAACCGTTTAGGGCTTTAAAGGCCAACGCCAGCACTTTGAATTCAGCCCGGTAGCAGATCGGTAGCCAGTGGAGTTGGCGCAACAGGGGGGTTGTATGCTCCCTGCGCTCCGCTCCTGTTAAAATCATGGCTGCCGAGCGTTGGACTAGTTGGAGCTTCCGAGCTGTCTTCAAAGGCAACCCCACGTAGAGAGCGTTGCAGTAGTCTAAACGGGATGTAACCAGAGCGTGGACTACCGTGGCCAAGTCAGACTTCCCAAGGTACGGGCGCAGCTGGCGCACAACCTTTAGCTGTGCAAATGCTCCCCTGGTCACCGCCGAAACCTGGGGTTCCAGGCTCAGCGATGAGTCCAGGGTCACACCCAAGCTGCGAACCTGCGTCTTCAGGGGGAGTGCGGCCCCATCCAACACAGGCTGTAACCCTATGCCCTGTTCGGCCTTGCGACTGACCAGGAGTACCTCTGTCTTGTCTGGATTCAATTTCAATTTGTTGCATTACAGCCATAAAACCAATAAAACCAATACAAACCAATTTCTCCTCATTGACGGTCAGCGTTCGCTATCTCATAGTTCAAATTCCAATTCCACAATTGTCAGTCCTGTCAGTCCTATTCGTCTGGTTGTCCTTATCTAGTTGTCAGATTGCCCAAAGGCCTGGTCCCACAACCACATCTTTACCTTCCTCCTGAAGGAGAGGAGGGATGTTGATGCCCTAATTTCCCCCCGGGAGTGAGTTCCACAGGTGAGGGGCCACCACTGAGAAGGCCCTGCTCCTCGTCCTCATCAAATTCCGGGGTGGGATGTAGTGGGAGATACGTTCGGACAGATACACTGGACCGGAACTGTACAGGGTTTTGTAGGTCAAAACCAGCACCTTGAATTGTGCTCGGAACTGAACCGGCAGCCAGTGGAGCTGACACAGCAGGGGGTGGTGTGCTCCCTGTATGTCACTCCGGCGAGCAGCCTGGCTGCCGCTTGCTGAACAAGTTGAAGTTTCCAAACCGTCTTCAAGGGCAACCCCACATAGAGTGCGTTGCAGTAGTCTATTCGGGATGTAACAAGAGCATGGACCACTGTGGCCAGATCTGACTTCCCAAGGCACGGGCGCAACTGGTGCACAAGTTTTAATTGTGCAAAAGCTCTCCCGGCCACCGCTGAAACCTGGAGTTCCAGGCTCAGCGATGAGTCCAGGATCACTCCCAAGCTGTCTCCTTTCAGCCTTTTCCTTTCCAAGCTAGATGCAAAGTATACAGTTCTGAAATACAAAGTGTACAGTATAGGACAGGCAAACTGTGCCCCTCCAGTGTTTTGGATTTCAACTCTCACACCAGCTCTTAGGAATTGTGGGAGTTGAAGTCCAAAACACCCGAAGAGCCAAAGTTTGCCCGTGCCTCATATAGGCCATTTGGCTAGGATTTCACTGGAAAGGGGAATGGGGAGGATGGGGATTTCATGCATGCCCTGCTTGAGGTCATCCACACCAGATCCCTTTCAAAGGGCAAGAGAGGAAGGACAACTCAAGGCCTAACCATGCTCCCTTGGTCTCCCCACAGGGCGTGTCTCCCCCTCACACCCATGTCTGCAAGATGGGCCCTGCCTGGACTCCCAGGACAGCCAAGGCCAGCCGGGTTCGGGCCACGCTCCTTGCAAGCCACGCTTTGACTCCGAAGGGAACAGCCCTCCTGCTCCACCGGCTGGGGAGGACTACAACATGAACATCGTCTCCCATTCTGGCCCAGGGCCCACAGAGGTTGCCCCACAGGAGCCCCAGCCCCCACATGCCAGCCCCCGCCGGTCGCCGGCCACCGACAGCTACTGCGCAAGGTTCCAGAGGGATGCGGTGACATGCAAGGAGAGGGAGAAAGGAGCCGGAAGCCCTGTCACTTCTGCTGTTAGGGAGCCAGGGCATGGACCTCCTGTTCCCCGCACTGACGGTGGTGGTACCCCGCTCTCCAAAGATGAGTCAACAAAGGGCCATCAAGATGCCGGATCTGAAGGTCATCCGAATGGAGAGGTGACAAGAGAGCCGCTCAGCTCCGAAGGAGAGGTCAGCCCCAGGAGCCGGGGGCTGCCCTCCGCCTCTTCAGACACAACATCCCCATCTTCGGACCCTGGCATTGAGGCGGACCTCACCAGCCGGAACTCCAAGTCCTTCCCTCCATGTGGCCGGCTTGGTGAAGACCTCAGCTCCCCGGGCTCCGACTCAGACGTGGAGGGCGAGATCGAGGCCGCCTTTGCCTGTGGTGGCAACCGCATGGCCAGCAACATGATCTCCAGCATCTCGGAGACAGAGCTGGACCTCAGCAGTGACAGCAGCAGCAGTGGCCGCTCCTCGCACCTGACAAACTCCATCGAGGAGGCCAGCTCTCCGGGGTCAGAGGGCGAGCTGGAGGGCGAGCTGGACACCCAAGGCGTGCTGGGCCTGAAGGATGCCCTCCTGCTAGACGCCGGGCGCAAAGACCAGGAGGGCACTGAGCAACCTGCTGACCAGATCATGGTCCGGAGGGACAGCCTGGCTGGGCTCAAGATTGAGGAGTTTGACGAGGACCCCTCTGCCCCCGTTGACCAGACTGACATCTCCCTCTCAACTCACCTGGAGCTGGAGATCAACCCTGATCATAGCCTGGAAAGCCTGAGGAGATCCTTCTACCTGCCAGTGGGGCCAAAGCTCTTGCCAGAAGGAGACGACGAGGAAGAAGAAGCAAACACCGAATATGATTCCGACTCAGACTCTGAGTCAGAGCCGGACCTGAGTGAGGACTCGGATTCGCCGTGGCTCCTCAGCAACCTGGTTAACAAGATGATCTCGGAAGGCTCCTACCCCATCAAGTGTGCGGATGAGTGCTTCCCTGTGGCACACTCCATCGCTGACACCATCTCCCCAGCCTCTGACCTGGAGCCTGAGATCCCCACTGAGGCTCTGGCAGAGAGCGAGCCTTGCCCACAGAAGAGCATCGAGCTGGTGGACATGGAGACCCTCCGTTGCTCCCTCCAAGGCGCTGAAGAGGAGAAGGTCCCAGAGCCCAAGGCAAGGGCCAATTCTGCTGAGAAGGAACCGCTCTCTGGCGACCGACCCCCAGCCTACCTGTTCCTGAGCAACCCCACCAACGACACCATCACACCCGTCTTCCCTGGGCGGCCGCTCTCGGGCTGCTGTGCAAACACGGGCCGGAGAACTGGCCCTAGCAAGACAGAGGACTGTGGGGAAATTGGTGGGGACCCCTTTTCTAGCCTCCTGGGTGATGGCGACCTGATTGATGACGTCCGATTAGAGCGCAGTGAGGGGCTGGATGTCTCCACGGCCAGGACCAATCGCTGCTTCAGCTTGGCCTACTCCCCTGAGGAAGAGGAAGATGAGGAGGTACCTCACCTAGGCAGCCTGAAGGACTCCCCATTCTCAGAAGGACTCCCCCTGCCTCCACCAGCTGTAGTCCTGGATGACTCCTTGGCCTATGACTCCATCAAGTACACCCTGGTCGTGGATGAGAATACCCAGCTGGAGCTGGTCAGCCTCAAGCGCTGCACCTCCGTCCTGAGCGACGATGACAGTGAGCTGCTGAGGGCCTGCGAGGCCGGCGACCTGGAGGATGGGGCCAGTGACTTTGGGGAGGGGCTGGGGGTGGCCCCCGACGGCCGGGGATCCTCCTCTTCTTCCTCTGAGGATTCCTCCCCCGAGGCAGACCTCCATTTCTCCAAGAAGTTCCTCAACGTCTTTGTCAACAGCACCTCCCGATCCTCCAGTGAGTAGCCTTTCTTTTCACAACTTGCCACTAGTATTTTTAGGGTGGGGGTGGGTGTTATTGACTCAACCCATTGATTACAAGGGCCCATGGACGAGGGGGACCCTTGCTCTACCGCTGCCTTCCACAATCAGTGTGTGCCACCATTACTGATTGCTTCCTTGTCTGGGGTTGAGGGTCTTCATTGGCTCTTCATCATAAGAAACCACAGATCTGGCCTCCTTAGTTATCTCTCTTTGAGGGTGGGTGTGGGTGTTATTGACACAACCCATTGATTAAAAGGGTCCATGGATGAGGGGACCCCTTGCTCTACTGCTGCCTTCCACAATCCTTGTCTGGGGTTGAGGTTCTCCATTGGCTCTTCGTCATAAGAAACCACAGATCTGGCCTCCTCAGTTATCTCTCTATGTCCTCCAGTAAGACTCGGTGGTCACAGAGCCATTGACCATAGATATGCTGGACCTTGGGGTTGCCCATAATTGTGCTGGAAAAGCTAGAGATTCTACTGGATGTGTTCTCTTAAGGATCTGAGTCCTCTGGCACAACTCTGATCTAGAAGAATCTCTAGCTTTTCCAGCACAATTATGAGCAACATACATGGCTGATCCGTCTAGGTCCTCCAGTCAAGGTTCTAGATTCCTAGAGAAGGGTTCCCTCAACCACGGCAAATGTGTGAACAGACTCTATCTATGTTTGTATGATTCTATGATCTCTTATACTGTAAGCAGCCTTGTGTTCAACACTTGGGGAGTAGGTGGGAGATCAATGGAGTGACGTTTTCTTTTATTCTCTCCCCCAAAATTAGGTACAGAATCCTTTGGCCTCTTTTCTTGCATGGTGAACGGAGAGGAAAGGGAACAGACCCACCGAGCCGTTTTCAGGTGAGGAGGAAGAAGGCAGAGGGAGGGAAGCTACAGCTGTTCCAAATATATTAGATCTATTGAGATAAGCCATTGCCTGGGGATTGTCACCCGTTTCCCTGTCCCACACCCCGCAAGCAGCCACCCCAATACCTGTCTTTCTCTCCAGTCCTTCCCAGAATGGGGACTTGAATCACTTCCTGTTGACACTTTGAGAGGGACTTCAGAGAAAAACGGGGATATTACAGGGTTTTAGTTTTTCCCTAGTCAGCTCTTTGCTCCCAAATAACTGTTTGGGGATAAGGGCTGACTTTTCAAAAATTTGCAAATGAAATTAAGCCACCTTAAATTGTAATTTAATTAAATATATATGTATGTGAATTGTGTGCAGCTCCTCTCTCCTTTTCCATCAAAAGGTGGCATCTCCTTCTCTGGAAGTTTGTAAACTGAGGCCGGATGGATGTCTGTTGGAAGGGCTTGGAGAGTGCCTTCCTTCCTTCCTTCCTTCCTTCCTTCCTTCCTTCCTTCCTTCCTTCCTTCCTTCCTTCCTTCTTTCCTTCCTTCGTGGCAGAACAGGTTTGTACTGGATGGCCTTTGGAGTTTCCTTCCAACTCTTGAGATTCCTCTCTGATTATTCCAGGTTCATCCCTCGCCATGAAGATGAGCTGGAGCTGGATGTGGACGACCCCATCCTGGTGGAGCTGGAGGAGGATGACTACTGGTACCGGGGCTACAACATGCGCACCGGGGAGCGCGGCATCTTCCCAGCCTTCTATGCACACGAGGTGGTCAGCCCAGCCAAGGAGGTCACAGGTATGGACAAAGGAACGGGGTTGGGCAGCTGCTGCAGCTGAGGCAAGAAGGTCCACAGCCTTCTAGGAGGCTTCCCTCCATCCCTGTGACCTTATGGTTCTTTCCAGGCTTGAAGAGGAATCCGTGCTGGATGGAGCGCTTCAACGTCCAGTTCCTGGGCTCTGTGGAGGTCCCTTACCACCAGGGCAACGGCATCTTGTGTGCAGCCATGCAGAAGGTGAGGCCTGGAAGGGAGTCACAACCTCCTATAGATGCTTCTTTCCCTCAAAAATGCTTTTGAAAGGGGGTGGCTGCCCCATAGTATGCTGTGCTGGCTCTACCCATGACCCACAGTTTGGATAGGTCTGCTTTGGGTAGGGCCTTTTGCCCAGAGCTTGGGAAAATTACTTCTCACTGAGTGTAGGGAACCTTCTCTGAAGGCTTTAAGCAGAGGCTGGATGGCCATCTTTTGGAGGTGCTTTGATTGTTCCGTCTTGCATTGCAAGAGAATGGACTAGATGTCCTTCAGGGGTCTCTTCCAATGCTAGGATCCTATACTGACCTTTCTTTCCTGTTGGCAAAACAGAGCAGAACTAGATGGCTTTTGGGGTCTCCTCCAACTCTAGGGTTCTATGAACAGACTTAGCTCTGCTCCACAAAAGCCCTCACACCCACCCCTGAATTCTGCTGCCCTCTGTTGCCCACTCCATGCCTTCTGTCCCTTGCAGATTGCTACCACACGTAAGTTAACAGTCCACCTGCGACCCCCAGCCACCTGCGACCTGGAAATCAGCTTGCAGGGCATCAAGCTTGTCCTGACAGTGAACGAATACAGCCGGGACGAAGAGGTGAGGGGCTTATGAGGAGGGCAGGGGGTGACTGGGCCAGGAGGAAAGGCCTCTGAGATATCTCTTCTGTTTGTTTAGACAGTAGATGGCCTTGCTGGGGATGATGGGATTGGGGAGGCAAGAGGGGCCCGCACGGGTGACAAGTATTTACTCTTCTGCCTCTCTTTCCAGTTTGATCGCTGCAGCCATTTCTTCCAGATGAAGAACATCTCCTTCTGTGGCTGTCATCCCCGGAACAGCTGGTAAGCAGGCCCCATGGCCACCCCTTCTTTGGCCGGGCCTTGGCCAAGGCGTCCAGCCGCTTCGCCCATAGACCTATCTTGTGCCTCCTGTGGAAGGAAGGCGATTTGACCCCACCCTGACAATCATGGCTCAGTGCCGTGGAACCCTGGGACTTGTAGTGTGTTGCAGCACCAGCATTATATGGCCAAATAGTTGAAAGTCTCAAACTGCGTATCCTAGGATTCCATAGCTTTGAGCCAAGGCAGTTACAGTGGTGTCAAACTGCAAACATTTCACAGTGTGGATGCACCCTAGGTCTTGCTGCAGCTCTGGAGCAACGGAACGAAACAAGGTCCTTCTTCCAAAATCAAGGGGAGTTGACCTAGTCACTATCCAGTTGTGTTCATAAAGGGCAAGTGTGTACTTTTTAGATTCAGTGCATGGAGCTACTGCCTAGCTACTTACGTGCCAGTCATATGCATGAATAACCTTGAGGTGTGTCCCCAGTCCTTTTCCAGCTGATGTTCCCACATTGGCCTTCCAATTGTCTCTCCAGTAGAGTCATAGGGCAGCTCTATCTCAGCTGCTAGCCCACAGAAACACACTGCCTCATGTACTAGAAGTCATGTGTGGTCCTCCCAAAAAATAGAGGACCATGATACTGATCAGTCAGGCACACAGCTGGGTTTGGGTCAGGGACATGGTCTGGGTCAAGGTCTAGGTATGGATCAGGGTAAGTCTGGCTTAGATTCTGGGTCAGGATCTAGATCAGGGTCATGGTCAGTCTGGATCAGGATCTGGGTCAGGGTCAAGGTCAGGACCTGGGTCTGGATCTGGGTCAGAGTCTGGTTAGGATCAGGATCTGGGTCAGGTCCAGTGTCCAAGTTAGGGCCTGAATCAAGTTCAGGGTCTGGATCAGTATTTGGATCAGGATCTGTTAGTGTTTGGATCAAGGTCAGGGTTTTGATCAGAGTCTGGGTCAGAGTCTGGATTAGGACTGGGGTCTGGATCAGGTTCTGGGTCAAGGTCTGGGCCTGGATCAAGGTCAGAGTCTAGATCAGGGCCAGGGTCTCTGTCAGGGTCTTAATGAGGGTCTGGGTCAGGGCCAGGATCAGTCTGGGTCAGAGTCTGGCATTAGAGCAGCCAGAGGGTGTGACACCACTGTGCCCCCATTGTAACTCCTGGCCCTCTTCCCTTGCAGCTACTTTGGTTTCATCACCAAGCACCCCGTGCTGAGCCGCTTTGCCTGCCATGTCTTCGTCTCCCAGGAGTCCATGCGGCATGTCGCAGAGTGTGTTGGGTGAGTCATTTGAGGCGGTGTCCATGTTGGGGAGATAATAGTGCAATACGCCTCTTGTCATGACTGCTGGGGGTGTTTAGCCTGGAGAAGAGAAGGGGACATGAAAGCCATGTGTAAATATTTTGGAAGGATGTCCCACTGAGGAGGAGGAGGAGGAGGAGGAGGAGAATGGCTTGTTTGCTGCTACTCTAAAGACCAGGTCGCAATGGACCAGGCCGGTTCACAACAAGAGATTCATAAACAATAGTATAAAAAAAAATCACACTTCATAATACACTAATCCATAAAATACATTAAAATACAATCATATAATTACATAAGGCCAAGTCGTCAGAATGAAATCACAATTCAACACCACTCGTTCGTGTGGTCAAGAGTTATTGACTCACTCATCAAATGCTATATTCGAAAGCCAAGTTTTCACCAGCTTTCTAAAAGTCAGGAGAGAAGGGGAAGTTCTAATCTCCAGTGGGAGAGAGTTCCAGAGCCGAGGGGCCACCACCGAGAAGGCCCTGTCCCTCGTCCCCACCAGACGCGATTGCGAGGGTGGTGGGACCGAGAGCAGGGCCCCTCCAGAAGATCTTAACAACTTTGATGGTTCATAGGGGAGAATCCGTTCGGACAGGTAAACTGGGCCGGAGTCGTTTAGGGATTTATAGGTCAACACCAGCACTTGCCTGGGGTTTTGGTGGAGTTTCCTTCTCTGGACGATCTTAAGCAGAGGCTGGATGTGCACTTGTCCAGAGTGCCTTCTGACATAGCAAGGGGATGGACTGGATGGTCTTGGGAGGCTCTGTGCTTTATTATTTGTCGTGTCAGAACAACCAGTCTAACAGAACAAAGCAAACAAACAGAAAAATACACAACTTGTGAGTTTGGTAGCTGGTTAAATGTCCTTTGACCAGTATCTGGCCACTTGGAGTGCCTCTGGTGTTGCCGCAAGAAGGTCCTCCATTGTGCATGTGGCAGGGCTCAGGTTGCATTGCAGCAGGTGGTCAGTGGTTTGCTCTTCTCCACACTAGCATGTCGTGGATTCCACTTTGTAGCCCCATTTCTGAAGGTTGGCTCTGCATCTCGTGGTGCCAGAGCGCAGTCTGTTCAGCGCCTTCCAAGTCGCCCAGTCTTCTGTGTGCCCAGGAGGGAGTCTCTCATTTGGTATCAGCCATTGGTTGAGGTGCTGGGTTTGAGCCTGCCACTTTTGGACTCTTGCTTGCTGAGGTGTTCCAGCGAGTGTCTCTGTAGATCTTAGAAAACTATGTCTAGATTTAAGCTCTGTGCTGACCTTTCCCTTCCTTTCTCTTCCAGCCGCGCCTTTCAGGAATACTACCAAGAGCACCTGGAGTTTGCTTGCCCCACAGAAGACATTTACCTGGAGTAGGAGGGAGTGAGCTGCCGTGCCTCCTGCTTCCGCAACCCATCCAGAGACTCTGAACCCTCCTCCCATGCCCTTGCCAGGCTCACCACTACACCATGCCGCCATCCTGACCCCGATCCCTGTCACGGAAGGCGCCCCGGACGGGGAGAGAGAAAAGGCACCGCTGCTGGGCCCCTGGCAGTGCAACTGGCCCCTTTGCCCCCTTTCCCCCTTTTCCTCCCCATCCCTCTTCCCTTCCCTATGTCCCCACTTTGGCCAGGAGAGTAGGAGGAGGCCATGCTCCTCTTGGGAGGCCTTTCCTTTTGGAAGGAGACCCATGAGCAGAGCAGGGAGGGGGGTGCGACCCAGAGAAAGAACAGAGGATCTACAGAAAGAGGGGCCAGGGAGTTTGCTGCTTTTCCGGAGAGCTCCAGCCTTTGCATGGCGTCCCTTTTCGGGGCTGGGAGGAAGGCTTGGGGCATGATGATGAAGGTCTGCCTAGTCCCCTCTTCTGGAAAGGTCCTCTTGTAAGTGGAGGGGGAGCAACAACACCCATCACCCCCACCCCATTGCATCCCTTCCTTGTGGGGGGATTGAGGGGCATGGCCACCCCAGTCTTTGGGTTCTGTTCCCGTCCCTGCCTTTGACATCATCGCAAGTTGTAAAGAACTTGATACCTTGCAGGGCAGGTTGGAGTAAGATGTTTGTGTCTCTTTGCATTTCTCCCTTCCTCTCTCCGTACACAAAACACACACACATACACACACAAAGACACACAATGGCTTCCATCTTTGCAATTCCATGCCTTGCCTGGGTTTAGGGGAGGGAAGGAAGCGGTCCGAGGCAGGACCCTGCATGCTGCATGGGGGCAGAGGGCCTGTTTGTCTTTCTTTCTGGGGAGGATGGGGAAGGCAAAGGGGGGAACCCCTTTCTCCTCTGATGTATAGGTTCTTGGGAGGGTTTTGGGGGGGGGGTCTCTTCTGTCCGGCAACCATGGGTCACCCTCATACTATCGCACCCTTGTGTCTGAACCTGCGGTGGCACCAGAGAGAGCCGTTCACATCCTTTGTGAACCGAAGGCAATCTTGGAGACGTGGCCTGGCTCGGGCTTCCTGTCCTCTTGGTCGGCTTCCCCTTTTCCCCCATGTCTCCCTCTCCCTTCCATTTCCCCTCGCCCCCCATCCCCACCCCATAAGCCCCATTGCTGTGCCTGGTGAACCCCCTTTGCTTGCCTGTCTCCACTCAGTACTAGCTGACCGAATAGCGACGCTCACTGCTGTCCGTGTTATGTAAAACGACAATATTTATCCCTAACGTCCGAAACCAAGCGGAGCAGTGACCTGTACAAACCCCGGGCTCCAAAGGCCCCCTCCCTCCTCACTGCCTTGTCATGGAGTTGGTCTTTCAATAAATAATATACGCTTGGTGTCACAACCGTGTGGGGCATCCCTGGGCCTTGCTTGCACGTTGGGGTGTGTTGCCTTGGTGGGGCTCAAGGTTTCCTTCTCGAAAAGGCCTTAGAACACAGGCAGTCCCCAGCTTAGACTATAAACTAATTTATTGTACAACTATTTACATTAGAAGTTAAACACATCGTAAAACGGCTTCCTCTCCATTCGACAGCTACATCACGAACACAGAACACGCTGCTATCAGCATTAGTCCACACCTCCTGCATTCCAGAGTGACGTATGACATACAACGCACTACGCTGTGTCCATTGCTCTCTGCACAAAGATTTATGACCTCTCTAGGAATGCCAATTCCCTTCATGGTTCAGTTAACACTTTCCACACAGGAATTACAATCAGCACATAGCGTTGCATTTTTAAACATACAAACACACTTTGAAATCTACATTATACATCAACACAAATGAACGGGGCTGAGACAACAGGAAGAGAAATCCATTCAAGGAAGTGTCATTATCAGGGGGGAAAGGGGTCTCCACTGAAGCTTTATCACCAATCCTTGTTTCGACAACAAGCCAAATTTCTCAAACTCCACTTCTCACAGGGACAGAGAGAGGGGATCTTCTGAAGAGGGACACAGACAGCAAAACAAAACACCACAGGGATATTGACCTTTGCCTGTGCAATCCAAATCTAAGAAATATATATTTTTAGCTGGAATTGCCCTTAAAAATGTATCTGTTCCAACTTACATACAAATTCACCTGGAAAACGAACCTACAGAACCTATCTTGTTCATAACTTGGAGGCTACCTGTATTACTGGACTGCAACTCCCATCATTCCTGATTTATTTATTTATTTCGTATCATAAATTAGTATAAATCTGATAAAAATAGAAGGAGCGCAGGCGGCTAAACATCTTTTGACCAAAAACGGGCAACAGCAATGGCATTGTCTGTAGCCTCCAACAATTCCTCCTCTGTACATGAGGTAGGGCATAGTGGACAAGCATACAGATGCAGAGTTATCTGTTCTGTTCCACAGTCACACAAGGTGTTGGATTCTTTTAGGTAGTGCCATTTTGCCAGGTTGTCTTTTGATCTGCCCACTCCACTTCTGAGTCTGTTCAGGGACTTCCAAGTTGCCCATTCTTGGTTTGCCCCTGGAAGAAGACCCCCTCATGGGGGGGCATCCAGTTGAGATTTCCAGGTTTAGCTGCCCAGAGGGAGACCCTTGCTATTGCTGGGGAGTGGTAGTTCTCATAAAGCTTTTCCTTGATTTGAGTCTACTGGGAGGAGGCTGGTAGCCATGTATTATCATTCCTGATAATAATAATAATAATAATAATAATAATTATTATTATTATTATTATTATTATTATTATTATTTATATCCTGTCCTATCTCCCTATGGGGACTCATTGCCTATACTGGCCAGAGCAATCGGTGTTGCAGTCTGAAAATATCTGGAGCAGGACCATCATCACCACCTATAGCCACTCAAATCATTACTCTCCTTTGTATTAATATTAATAAAACATACTAAAAACAAACCACGAGAAAATCTCAAAAGGCACGCATAGCATAGAAACCCAGTAGGTAAGAAATACTACAAAGAAGACAAAGAAGGGGATGACTTCCAGCCACGATCTGTACAAGGGGAATTCATCCAATGTTGTTGTTCATTCGTTCAGTCGTCTCCGACTCTTCATGACCTCATGGACCAGTCCACGCCAGAGCTCCCTGTCGGCCGTCACCACCCCCAGCTCCTTCAAGGTCAGTCCAGTCACTTCAAGGATGCCATCCATCCATCTTGCCCTTGGTCGGCCCCTCTTCCTTTTGCCTTCCACTTTCCCCAGCATCATTGTCTTCTCTAGGCTTTCCTGTCTCCTCATGATGTGTCTCCTCCTCCTCATCCAATATGTTCTCAAAATATGGATATGGAAGAATACCCAGAAATGTGAAGTAAAAAATAAGCATTAAGGGAAACAATATTGTATACATCCATATTGAAGAATGAATGCAGTTTGACATCATTTTTAACTCCAATCGGTCAAAGGTATGGAATCCTATGAATTGTAGCATTGAGTCACCATAGTGGCTCAATCCTATGAGTTGTAGCATTGAGTCACTAGCCTGGGCATGAGCCAACTTTGGCCCTCCCTCCAGGTGTTTTGGACTTCAACTCCCACAAGCCTTAACAGCCTACCAGCTGTTAGGAATTGTGGGAGTTGGAGTCCAAAACACCCGGAGGGCTGAAATTTGCCTATGCCTAATATATACTCAGTGCCCAACGTTCACTCATAATCCATTCATTCAACATTCATACTCACCACCCTTCTTCATTGGTCTAACCCGGTGGTTCTCAACCTGTGGGTCCCCAAGTGTTTTGGCCTTCAACTTCCAGATATCCTAACAGTTGTTACATTGACTGGGATTTCTGGGAGTTGTAGGCCAAAACACCTGGGGACCCACAGGTTGAGAACCACTGGTAGCCTCATTCATTCTACAGCACTGATACACTCACTGAAGGGCTTAAACATACCAGACCCTGAAGCTAAACAGGGTCAACTCTGGTTATGACTTGGGTGGGAGATCGGTAACAAATCCCAACGCTGCAAGCTCTCAACCTCTCAAACAGACCTCTCAACCTTTGAGGATGCCTGCAATAGATGCAGGCAAAACATCAGGAGAGAATGCCTCTAGAACATGGCCATATAGCCCGAAAAAACCTACAACAACCCGCTGCAAGCTCTATTTAAAAGGAATGGACTGGCCAAACACCGAAGTCTTCCTTGCCTGAGAAAACCCTAACCTCTAATCAGATTGCCATTAGTTCACAGGTGACTACAAGACACAACATACTCAAGATCTGGCCTTGGTGTCTTTTCCCCAAATGCTGCAGGCTAGAGCTTCCAACTTTTGTTGAAAGGAGCCTTTTTGGACTGCTGCTCTCAGAATCCCCCAGACTCTTCCCCAAACCCAAAAGAGACGTCTGAAGAATCGTAGGTGTGAGGGAAACCACCTCTGAATATTCAAACCCTACAGAATTCATGGAGTTGCCATAAGTGGACAGCCAGTTTGAAGTCCCACGTGTAGAAAAATCTGCTTCTTCTTTCTGGATGATTGAGACAATCATCATCAGAAGCATCAGCTCACTTCTTTCCTGTACAAAAGTTTTAAGTGAAGGCATACCTCAGCTTCGTGTAAAGCCTTATACCAAACGACAATACAAACGTAACCAATTGGATTGATTTAAAAGCTTTAAGCTACGAATAGTCATGAATAATGAAGCACCGTGGCACCACTTCCTACACTGGCTTTCTCAGTTTGTTTTAAGGGATGCATGCTGGTAGTTCACAGCTAGTCTCTATCTTCAAGAAGGGAAAATATGAGGCTGGACATTGGTCATTGTTTAACAATTAAACAATGACCAATGTCCAGCCAGCCTGAGATCAAGACCAGGAAAGATTCTGGGGCAGATCATGAAGGAAGCAGCCTGCAATCACTTAGAAAGGAAGGCTGGGATCAGTCAGAGTCAGCATGGAAAACAAGTCATGCTCATCTGAACTCTTTTTCCAATAGAGTTAGAAGCATGGTAGATGCAGGGAACGCTGTGGATGTAGTATATCTTGATTTCAGGAAGGCCTTCCTTTGACAAAGTCCCCCATGACCTCCTTGAAAGCAAACAAATCCAGTGTGGGCTAGGCATTGCTACTATTAGCTGGATGTTTTATGTTCCATTCAGAGGTTCAGGTGAGCCAAAACTCCCACTGCATTTGTACCTGAAATGTCTCAATAATGATTTGGATAGCTATATTAATGATTTGAGTCTCATTTAAGATAGGAAACAGGGTAATAATAATTATAACCCCTCTATCTTGTGGGGTTCCTCAGGGGGCCATTCTCTCCCCTCTGGTGTTTAACATCTATATGCGACCACTTGCGCAGCTGGTTCAAGGTTTTGGGCTGGAGTGTGACCAGTACGCCGATGACACTCAGCTGGTGCTGAAGATGGAAGGCCGGCCAGACTCTGTACCTGATTGTTTCCATCAGTGCCTCGAGGCTGTGACTGGATGGCTGCGTGCCAGCAGGTTGAGGATGAATCCAGAAAAGACGGAGATCCTATGGCTGGGTCGACCGGGCAGTGGGGACATCCAGCTGCCTACCCTGGATGGCAAGGCGCTACGCCAGTCATCGTTGGTCAAGAGTCTGGGAGTCCTTTTGGACCCTCTGCTGACGATGGAGGCCCAGGTCTCCCGCCACCGTGAGCAGAACCGCCTTCTTTCCCCTGCGGCAGGCTAGACAGCTGGCCTCCGCCCTGTCCAGGGACGACCTGGCTATGGTGATCCAGGCCACGGTCATCTCCAGACTGGACTACTGTAACGCCCTCTACATTGGCCTCCCTCTGTCAGTGATCCGGAAACTCAAGTTGGTACAAAACGCAGCTGCTCGGCTTCTTGCGGAAACTCCGATGAGATGCCACATCACCCCAATCTTCTGCAGCTGCATTGGTTACCCATTGAGCACCGGATCACTTTCAAAGGGATGGGACTCACCTTGAAGGCCTTGCATGGTCTGGGGCCGATGTACCTGAGGGACCGCCTCACCCCCTCCCAACCCCAGAGATCCCTCCGTTCTGAGGACCAAGATCTGTTGGACATTCCCAGTGTCAAGACCTTGCGCCTAACAGCAACCAGACGCAGAGCCTTCACAGCAGTGGCACCATCACTCTGGAACACTCTGCCACCTGAAGTCCGTGCCTTGCGGGACTTACCAGCTTTCCGCAGGGCATGGAAGACATACCAGTTTCGACAGGCCTTTGATTTTTGATATTGCTGTTATTAAATTGTTTTAAATTGCTTTAAATTTTGTTCGATTTTAGCCATTCTTGTAAGCTGCTCCGAGCCCCAGGGGAGTGGCCGCATAGAAGTTTAAATAATAATAATAATAATAATAATAATAATAATAATAATAATAATAATATATACACACACACATACATATATACATACAGTCAT